GAATAGTGAAATGTAGCTGGGTGTGGTGGCACATGCCTGTAATCCCAGCACTTGTTGGCTGAGGCAGGGAGATCTTGAGTTCAAGACCAGCCTGGGATGCACAATGAGATCCTCTCAAAAACAACAATAATAACAAAAACAAAAAACAGTGATATGTGTAAGGAATAGAAAAAAAGCATAAACTTTACCACCCCTCCCCAAAGGCCACAGCATCCGTAACTTACTACAGTTAGCACTGTGAACTTCCCATGGTCTCCCACGCACACGCACACGCACACACACTCACAAACACACTCACGCACGCACACACATCCTGGACCTCTGCTGCTATCAGACCTCCTCTTCCCAGCCATTTCACACCGCTGTAGTTTCATTAGACGGGCGTGTTCGGCTGGCTTGTTTCCCTTCCCCCAGATGTGCACCGGGCCATGAACCTGTGGCTGGGCTTTAGAAGCATGGTTGCCTGGATTCAAACGGGAATGTGCGAGTTAACCCTGACATGAGCCTAGGGAACTAACATGCAGAGGGGCTTGTTTCAGATGGCTTGTTGGGGTTTTCTTTTTCCCCCTGAAGTGTATCATTGAACCATGAACGCAACAATAGTGATTTGATCCTTCTGCCTCAGCCTCCCAAGTGCTGGATCACAGGCATGCACTATGCTCACTTTTAAAAACGTGGTTGCTAGAAATTGAACTGAGGGCCGCCAGCATGCTAGACAAGGAATCTACTACTTAACTACACTGCAGCATTTAAAAAAGACATGCACTGGCATATCCTCACCTCCTATCGTATGTGATTCCCCAGTTCTTCCCATAGCAGGTTGTTATGTGCCAGCAAGCCGGTGGACACATGCTCCTTTACTGTTTGGCTATTTGAAGGGTTTTGGGTTTTTTTTTTCCATTTACACATGTAGTAAAATTAGCCTGAACAAGAGCAGACCGCCGTGACCACACCCATGCTGGCTTTCAACTGTAGTGCTTGGGTGTGTGTGAACTGGGAGGATTATGTCAGCCTTGAGGACAGAGCTTTCCTGAGTCACCCGGTAGTTTCAGTATGGCCTTGGAGGGCAAAGACAGGGTGTCCTGAGCCCCAAGATGCGCCCCGGTCAGGCAGTCGACAGCCGAGCTTTCCCAGGAGGAATTCTCTGGAGTTGACTGCAGCAAAACTCCTTGAGAACGTCACTTCCCCACTAGAAAACTGACGTGGGCACACACTCACATGCTTGGGTGTCGGAGGGGTGGAGATGCCAAGGAGGCCGAGATGGGTAGGTCGTGTAGATTAGCCAAGCTGCCTGAGAAGCCGCTGTGCCCAGCTCTGAGAGAATCACAAAGCTTATGTTCGGTGGAGGGTTGAAAGCCCTGCGGTGGGGTGCCCCTGTGGTAACCAACCCTCAAGTTACACATTGCCTGTGCACCAGACAGAGCAGGCTGGCTCCCTTGAGATCTCGGCCTTGTCTGGGTACCAGTGGGCGGTCTGCTTCTGAGAGGCCAAGGGCGTGGGGTTGGCAGCCTCTGGGCCTTTGAGCCTTTCCTCTATCTCTGGGTTGTTAAGCCCAGCATCTCTGGCCCTGGGGAGGGTGAGGTGGTCCTTAGCTCCAGAGTGGGACTTCTTTGGTCCTGGAGAAAGCACCTGGCGGATGCTCGTTCCCTGGGGCAGAGGAGCTTCTCTCACGAACTTCCCAGGTGGAGATGCTCAGGCCAGGTACAGGAGAGTCAGCTGGGAAGCTTGGGTGGGACCCGAGCCAGGGCTTGGGTTCGGTAGTTATGGTGGGTGGGGCCCAGCCTCGGTGCCCCGCTGCACCTGCGCCGAGGAGACAGGAGCCCACGCCCCTCCGAGGTCTGCAGCTCCCCGCGTCCCGTGCAGGAGGAGCTGCGGTGGCAGATGCAGGAGACGCGGCGGCGCTGCCAGCAGAGCATGTTCATCTTTGACGAAGCGGAGAAGCTGCACCCGGAGCTGCTGGAGCTGCTTGGACCCCACCTGGAAGCCAGGGTCCCCGAGGCCCAGGGCGCGGAACCGCCACGCGCCATCTTCCTCTTTCTCAGGTGAGGTCTGAGCGGGAGGCCCGGGAGTGGGGTGCTGGCTGGCAAGAAGCCTTCCCGAAGCCAAAGCCCCACAGCTAGGAAGCAGGCAAGGGACGCTGAGGCCTCCCTACTCACCCCGCTTCCCCAGCATTCTCTGGGGTCACTTCCCAGGGACTCTGGCAGGAGCTAGAAAAGGGGAGCTGCCTGTCTGCGCAGCCGCCTCAGAGGCCTTTGCAAAGAGCATCGGAAACATCGGGGTTTGTTTTGGGGTTTGTTTGTTTGTTTAGGTTTTTCGTACAACGTGTTTCGATCATATTCTCTCTCTCTCTCTCTCTCTCTCTCTCTCTCTCTCTCTCACACACACACACACACACACACACACACACAGCCCAATCCCAGTCACTAGATCCATTCCCCACCTTCCTACCCATCCAACTTTGTGTCCCTTAAAAAAAAAAAAAACAAACGAACAAACAAACAAAAAACAAACCCCATCAAGACCAATTTGTGAATCCCAAATATTCTCGGATATTCCACTCGGGTCTTCCACTGGAACGGGGTTGACTTACCAAGGGCTACACAAAGCAAAAACAGACTAAAACAGACTCTCTCTCCCGGTAGCTAGTAATTGCTAAACCAGCTCCTCAGCTAGCGTGGGACGTAGTGCCCAACTCCCCTCTCCTCCTGGGATTTGCTTTGTCGTGGGCTTCACCGATCTTGTGCATGCTTTCAAAACAGACTGAGTTTCTATGCGTAGCTGCCCTGCTGTGTCCAGAGCTCCGTTTCCTTGTGATCATCTACCACCCCAGCTCTTACACTCTTCCAACTTCCCCTTCCAAAAATGATCCTTGAGCCTTTGGAGGAATGGGTGAGGTATTTATGTTCCATTTAGAGCTGGGCACCTCGGCCAGTTGTAGGTCTCTGTGCTAATCATTTACTGCGAATAGAAGCCTCTCTGATGAGGGGTGAGAGATGCAGTAATCTATGGGTATAGTGATAAGCCATTAGAAGTCCATTTAATACCATGTACATTTAGCAGAATAATAGTGGTGGTTCTCCTGTAGGGCCGATGACATGTCTAGAGCCAATGACATGTCTAGGCATTGCTTCTTGGCCCAATAATGGTACAGGCATTGGGTTTCAATGTATAGTGTGAGACTTAGATCCAACCAGAAAGTGGGGCTACTCCCACGCCTTTCCAGCATCTTTAAATGTTATTTATCTCTTCCTATATTCCCTCCTTTACCCTCCCTTCCTCCACCCCAGTTTAACCCTTCCTGCTCCATTATCCCCTTTAACTCTACACCACTGTGCTCCATCTCCCCTTCTTGGAAACCTCTCCCTGTGACCCTGTGGTAATTTCCTGACCTCTGTGAGTAATTCCAAATGAAACGCACATATCTGAAAGTTTAAAGCTAACACTCAGAAATGAGAGGAAGCTTGCCGTTTGTCTTTCTGGGTCTAGGTTACCTCAGAATGACGGGTTCCAGCTCCATGCATTTACCTGTGAATTTCATCATTTCCTTTTTCTTGACAGTTGAACGATACTCCATTGTGTAAATATACCTCATCTTCATTATCCATTCCTCAGTGGATGGACATCCAGGTTTTCATTTCCTAGCTATTGTGAGCAGGGCAGCAGTGAACATGGATGAGTGTGTATCTGTATAGTAGGAAATACAGTTCTTTGAATGTCTGCTCAAGACTGGTGTGGCTGGAGTGTGTGCTCACTCTTAGGTTTTTGAGAAGTCTCCACACTGATTTCCATAGTGGCTGCACCAATTTGTACTCTCAACAGCAGTAAATGTTTCCTTTCCCCACATCCATGCTGGCATTTGTCATTGGTTGTTTTTTAATCTTGGCCATTCTGACTAGGGTAAGATGTAGTCGGACTTTCTTTGGACCACCAGATCTCAAATAATGACACAGAGACTTCTTATTAATTATGAAAGCTCAGTCTTAGCTTAGGCTTGTTCCCAACTTGCTCTTACAACTTCAATTAACCTGTTTATATTAATCTACATTCTGCCACGTGTCTCATTACCTCTCCTCCATACTGTATGTGTGGCTTGCTCTGTCTTGCTGGTGAATCCTGCCTGTATTTCCCAGAGTTCCTATCTGTTCCCGGAAGTCCCGCCTATCCTCTCCTGCCTAGCTCCTGTTCAGCTCTTTATTAAACCAATCAGAAGGTGCCTTAGCAGAGACACATTATCCTACAACAGTAAGATGAAATCTCAAAGTAGTTTTAATTTGCATTTCCCTGATAGTTAAGGATGTTGAAAATTTTAAAAATGTTTCTTAGTGTGCTGGCTAGTTTATGTCAACTTGACACAAGCTAGAGTCGTCAGAAAGGAGGGAGCCTCAGTTGAGAAAATGTCTCCATAAGATCCAGCATTTTCTTAGTGATTGATGGGGGAGGGCCAAGCCCTCATGGGAGGTGCCATCCCTGGGCTAGTGGCCCTGGGTTCTATAAGAAAGCAGGCTGAGCAAGCCACGAGGAGCAAGCCAGTAAGCAGCACTCCTCCATGGCCTCTGCATCAGATCCTGCCTCCAGCTTCCCGCCCTGATTTCCCACACTACCTACTTTCTACAGTGAACTGTGTGCTGGCTAGTTTTATGTCAACTTGAAACAAACTATTGTCTCAGAGAAGGGAACCTAAATGCTTCCATAAGGTAAGGTTGCAGGCAAGCCTGTAGGGCATTTTTTAAATTATTGATGTGGGAGGCCCCAAAGAAAGCAGGCTGAGAAGCCATGGGGAGCAAGCCAGTAAGCAGCACCCCTCCATGGCCTCTGCATCAGCTCCTGCCTCCAAGTTCCTGCCCTGTTTGAGTCCCTGTCCCAACTTTCTCCAGTGATGAACAGCAAAGTGGAAGTGTAAGCCAAATCAACCCTTTCCTCCCCAGCTTGCTTTTGGTCCTGGCGTTTATCACAGCAACAGTACCCCTGACTAAGACGGCCATTTGTATTTCTTTTGTCTTTTGAGAACTCTGTTTAGTTCCATGTCCCATTTTTAATTGTTTTTTTCTTGATGTTTAATTTTTTTTTAGTTCTTTTGTACACCTAGGCACTAACTCTCAGTCAGAAATGTAGCTGTCCCCACCCCCACCCCCCACCCCCGTCTCTTCACTCAAGTGATGGTGTCCTTTGCTGTACAGAAACCTTAAATTAGTTTTATTAGGTCCTGTTTATTAATTGTTGATCTCAATGCTTGTGCTACTGAGGTCCTGTTCAGAAAGTCCTTTCATGTGTGTATGAGTTCAAGTGTACTTCCTATTTTCTCAGTCAAATTCAGGGTATTGGGTCTTAGGTTGGGGTCCTTGATCCACCTGGAGTTGAGTTTTGTGCAGGGTGAGAGATAAGAATGAAGTTTTATTCTTTTACATGTAGCTATCCAGTTTGACTAACACCATTTTTTTTTTTAATGCTATCTTTTCTCCAATGTGTTCTGTTGGCATGTTTGTCAAAAGGCGGGTGGTGGCTGTGGGTTAATATGGAGGTCTTTGATCGATTCCACTGATCAAGTCTGTCTTTATCCCAGTACCACGCTGTTGTTGTTTTTTTCAATTTTGTAAATTGCACTGGAATTTTAATGGGGATTGTGTTGAATCTGTAGATTGCTTTTGGTAAGATGGTCATTTTTACAGTATTAATCCTACTAATCCATAACTATGGGAGGTCTTTCAACCTCTGGTATCTTATTCAGTTTTCCTTTCTTTCCTTTCTCAGTGTCTTAAAGTCTTCATTGTACGTGTCTTTCACTTCCTCAGATTTATTCCAGGATATTTTTGAGGCCATTGTGAATGGGTTCGTTCCCTTGATCTCAGTCTTGGTGTGTTTTGTTTGACATTTGTATATAGGAAGGCCACTAATTTTTTAGTGTTTTATATTTTGCTACTTTGCTGAAAGTATTGGCTGCAGTTTTCTGGTGGAGTCTTTAGTGTATAGAATCACACCATCTGCAAATAAGGATGCTCTGACTTCTTCCTTGTACCCCTCAGTCTCCTCCACGTGTCCTGCTCTCTAGCATTGGGTTACACAGGAGGGAACAGAGTGAACATTCTGCCATTCCTGATTTTAGTGGAAATGCTTTGAGTTTTCCTCTGTTTAGGATGGTGTTGGCTTCCTGTGTATTCCATTTATTTTGTTGAGGTAAGTCTCCTGTTATCCCTATTCTCCCAGGACTTTTATCATGAATGGATGCTGGATTTTTGTCAAAGGCCCTTTCTATGTCTAATGAGGTGATCCATCTATTTATGTGGTGGATTTTATTTATTAATTTACATATATTGCTTCATCCCTACATTTCTGGAATGAAGGTGACTTGATCATGGTGGGTAATCTTTTTGATGTTCTTTGATTCAATTTGTAAATATTTTATTGAGAATTCTACATCTTTTCATCAGGGAGATTGGTCTATAATTTTCTGTTTGTTGTTATTGTTATTGGTTCTTTGGTGGTGGTATGAGAATAAAACTGGCTTCATAAAAGGGATTTGACTGAGTTTTTCTGTTAGTTCTTTGAAGGTCAAGTAAAATTCTGCACTGAATCCATCTGGTCCTGGGGTTTTTATAGTTAGGTGCTTCTAAAAATTTGTTAGATCATTCATTTTATTTTTTATGTGTTTTACCTGCATGCATGTCTGTGATAGTTGGGAGATTTTTAGTTACTGTTTCTATCTCACTAGATGCCGTGGGTCTATTCACTGGGTGCTGTGTCTATTCACTGGGTGCTGTGGGTCTGTTCACTGGGTGCTGTGGGTCTGTTCACTGGGTGCTGTGGGTCTGTTCACTGGGTGCTGTGGGTCTATTCACTGGATGCTGTGGGTCTATTCACTGGATGCTGTGGGTCTGTTCACTGGGTGCTGTGGGTCTGTTCACTGGGTGCTGTGGGTCTATCTCACTGGGTGCTGTGGGTCTGTCTATTCACTGGATGCTGTGGGTCTATCTCACTGGGTGCTATGGGTCTATCTCACTAGATGCTGTGGGTCTATCTCACTGGATGCTGTGGGTCCATTCACTGG